AGGTCTGGAAGAGGCATTCTTTGAGATTTTCTTTACTGTGGAAAAATTTTATTTCATTTTCAAAGACAAAGGAAAGCTTTGCTAGAAACATTTTTTTTAAAGATTTATTTTATTTTTATTGGAAAGTTAGATATATAGAGAAGAGGAGAGATAGAGAGGAAGATCTTTTGTCCGATGATTCGCTTCCCAGGGGACCTCAATTGCCGGAGCTGCACCAATCTGAAGTCTGGAGCTTGGAGCCTCTTCTGGGTTTGCCACACAAGTATAGGTCCCAAAGTTTTGGGCCGTCCTCGACTGCTTTCCTAGGTTACAAGCAGGGAGCTGGATGGGAAGCAGGGTTGCTGGGATTAGAACTGATACCCATATAGGATCCCTGCATGTGCAAGGTGAGGACTTTAGCTGCTAGGCTACCTCGCTGGGTCAAGCTGGATACATTATTCTGGGCCAACAATTTTTTGCTTAAATAATCTGGAATATGTCACTCTGTTCTTTTCTGGCCTGTAGAGTCTCCTATGAAAGGTCAGCTATGAATCTAATTGCCATTCCTCTGTATGTCAATTGATTTTTTTTTTCACATGCACATTTAAGGACCCTTTCCTTACAATTACATTTGGTTGAAGAGTGCTTGATCCGTGTGAAGATAGCTTTTGGTCAACCCTGTTGGGAGTTCTGTGTCCCTTCTGGATTTTGTTTCCCAATTCTCTCTCAAGACTAGGAAAGTTTTCCTTTATTATTCATTAAATACATTTTTAAACCCAGCTTCTCTTTCCGCACCTTCTGGAACTCCCATGACTTTTATATTTGGCCTTTTAATAGTGTCTTTTAACTCTTGAATTCTTTTTTTAGCTTGACCCAGCTCTGCTTCCAGCTTTTTGATTATTTGCCCATTGTGATAATATCTTCCAATTCTAAGAGTCTTCTGCCTTCTTCATTCTATCATTGAAAATTTCCACTAAATTTTTAATTTGCCTTATTGCATCCTTTATTTCCAGTATTTGGGCTTGATTTTATTTCAGTGTTGCTATTTCCTGTGTGACATACTCCTTAAATTCCTTGAACTCCTGCATGTTGTTAATAAGAAGTTTTATAATGAAAGAAAAAAAGAAGTTTTTATTTTCTCGATGTCTTCCTCAGTTAACTCTGAGGTTGGCAAGGGCTTTTACTCCTTTGCAGGGGAGTCTTCAGTAGTATTCATTGTGCTGCTGTCTCTTCTTTTGCTCTTATCATTGTACTTCTGGCTAGCAGATTTTTCTCCTTAGGACAGGTTTCTAAGCTGTGTCACCACAGATCTACAATTGGATTTTACTCACAGCGATTAGTACCCAGTTCTTTGTTTGCAGTCAGGTATGCCACTCCCTCCAGCGAGTTTCAGATTTGGGATCTTATGTTAGACTTCTACCACAGACTCTAGAGCCCAAGCTCCTGGTTCAGCTCTCTCCTCCTCCTGTGATCCCATCCTGGGGCTGCACTATTGTCTGTATAACCTTTCTCCCACTTCTGGTTTGAGCAATGCCCAGGATTAGGGAGACATCAGGTGTCCTATATAGCTTGGTTGTTGGCAGTACTGATCTTGCCAGAACCTTCTGGCCATTACATATGAGGCTCACACGGACCTATTTTGAGTTGTAAGACACCAAAGTCCGTATTTTTGTTGTTATTTTGTTTTCATTTTTAGTCAGTATTATTTTTATGTGGGACCAGTGCAATGTGCTGAGCTCAATGAGTTCATCCCAGCTCAGTGCATGCACAGCTCATTGTTGTCCCAGCAATCTCAAAGTCAAGCATCTGATATACAAAATAGCACTTCATGGAGTTCTTCATTGCTGGACATTGGGTCTGGGGGCTACATGCATCTAGTTTGGGTGGAACCTGTAGGATGCCACATCATTGCAATGCACTGAGCCAGAAATGAGCTTGCTCCTAGCTTAGTGTGTACACAGTACTGTCCCATAGTCTTTACCTCCCTATACAAAATGACATGAAATTGGCTCTAGTAGGGTCTGGGCTGTGAAATCCAGCCTGTTCCCACATTGCCTACGTGAGATCTGCTACTCTGTCTCTGCTCCTGGTCAAATCAAACAAACCAGCAGGATGGGCAGTTCTTTGGACTCACCTCCTGAGCTTGCAGTGTACTCCCCTTCCCACCTGGTTGCCGGTGGAGCTCCTGCCCTTGTGGAGTTCAGATTGCCACCTGCTGATCACCAACAAGGTATCTGGTCACTGCAACACCACACAACACCACACGTTTGTCTCAGCTGCTTTCCTATGTCTTTCCGTCTCCAGTCTTTCCTGCCATCAGTCTGTCCTCTCCTATTTCATGGAATATGTTTTATCTGCTTCACCCTGGCTAATGTTTCTGTCTCTTTAGACATGTCCTTAACTTTTTCTGCTGTCTTGATTCTCAATGTATTATTTTGAAGAGTATTTTATTTTATTTTGGAAAGGCAGATCCACAGAAGGAAGGAGAGACAGAAAGAAAGATCTTCCATCCCCTGACTCACTGCCCAAGTGGCCATCACAGCCAGAACTGATCCAAACTTCTGAGTCTCCCATGTGGGTGCAGGGTCCTAAGGTTTGGGCCATCCTCTACTGCTTTCCCACGCCAGAGGCAAGGAGCTTAATAGGAAGTAAGCCAGTTGGGACACAAACCAGCATCCATATGGGATCCTGGCACGTGAGTAAGGTGAGAAATTATCTACTGAGTCATCACTCTCAGCCCAAGCCTTTAGTGTTTTTTTTGTTTTTTTAATTATTTATTTTTACTGGAAAAGCAGATAGACAGAGAGGAGGAGAGACAGAGAGGAAGATCCTCCATCCACTGATTCATTCCCCAAGTCACCACAATGGCCGGAGCTAAGTTGATCTAAAGCCAGAAATCAGGAGCCTCCTCCAGCTCTCCAGGTGGGTACAGAGTCCCAACGCCTGAGGTCGTCCTCAACCACCCTCCCAGGCCACAAACAGGGAGCTGGATGAGAACTGGTGCCCACATGGAATCCCGGTGCGTGCAAGGTGAGGACTTTAGCCATTAGGCTACCATGTCAGGGCCCTCTTTAGTCTTTTTAATTTTTAAGGCAGATAGATAGGAAAAGAAAGGGAAGACAGGGAGAGAGGGAGGGAGAGAGATCTTGTATCTACTAGTCTACTTCCATAATGCCTTCAATAGCTAGGGCTGGGCCAGGCTGAAGCCAGGAGCTGGGAACTCAAACCCACACATTCAGTCTGGCAGACTGGAACCCAACTACTTAAGCACTCACCTACTGCCTCCCACGGTGCACGCTAGCAGGATGGAATAAACACATCAGGCTTTATGCATTATGGCCAACAGGCTTAGCTTTGAAGTCAAGTATATGACATATGGTGGAAAATACAAAGAATCGAATGTGAAAGTCAAGTATAAATCTAACAGAAATTCCAGAAGAGGGGCTGGCTCAGTGGCCTAGCTGGCTAATCTCTGCCTGTGTTGCTGGCACCCCATATGGATACCAGTTTATGTCTCATTCCTTCCACTTCTGATCTAGTTCATTGTTTATGACCCAAGAAAGCAGTGGAAATGGCTCAAATCCTTCCACTACTGCGTACGCATTAAGAGACCAGAAAGAAGCTCCTAGCTTCTAATCACCTAAGTTCCAGGAAGCTTAGTTCCTGGGAATGAACCAGAGGATGGAAGAACTCTCTAAATATATCTCTTCTTTTCTCTGTAAATTGGTCTTTCAAATTAAAATAATTAAATAGCTAAATAAGTAAATATTTTTTAAAAGGAGGGATTGGTACATTAGCCCAAATGGCTAATCTTGCACTTCTTTGTTTAAAAAAACTTTATTCATTTTTATTGGAAAGTTAGATATACAAAGAGGAGGCGAGACAATGAGGAAGATCTTCCATCAGTTGATTCACTCACTCCCCAAGCAGCCATGCTGAACTTGAAGCAGAAGCCAGGAGCCTCCTCTGAGTCTCCCACATGGGTGCAGGATCCCAAGGCTTTGGGCCGTCCTCAACTGCTTTCCCAGGCCACAGGCAGGGAGCTGGATGGCAAGCGGGGCTGCTGGTATTAGAACTGGCACCCATTTAGGGTTCTGGCTTGTGCTAGGCTACAGTTCTGGGCCCTAATCCTGCAATTCTTTTTTTTTTTTTTTTAAGATTCGTTTATTTTTATTGAAAAGCCAGATATATAGAGAGAGGAGGAGAGACAGAGGAAGATCTTCCAAGCGATCATTCACTCCCCCAGGTGACCACAATGGCTGGAGCTACGTGGATCCAAAGCCAGGAGCCAAGAGACTTCCCCAGGTCTCTTATGTGGGTACAGGGTCCCAAGGCCTTGGGCCATCTTCAACTGCTTTCCCAGGCCACAAGCAGGGAGCTGGATGGGAAGTGGGGCTGCTGGGATTAGAACTGGCGCCCATATGGGATCTTGGTGTGTTAAGGCAAGGACTTTATCCGCTAGGCTATCATGCCAGGCCCTAATTCTGCACTTCTATGTGCCAATATTCTATATGGGTTTCCTATCCTGGCGTCTTCGTTTGGAATCCAGCTCTCTGCTTGTGACCTGGGAAAATTGCCAATTGCCCAATGCCTTGGGGACCCTGCACTCACGTGGGAGACCCAGAACCAAGCTCCTGGCTTCTGATTGGCTCAGCTCTAGCCCTTGCGCACATTTAAGGAGCGAACCACAAGATGGAAGGTCTTTCCGTCTCTCTTCTCTCTGTAAACCTGCCTTTCCAGTATAAATAAGTATATCTTTAAAACGGGGGGCGGGGAGGGGGGGGAATAGGGACCAGCCGCTGGCATGCAGGCAGCCTGCGGGGCACACGCGCACAGTGAAGGGTTCAGATCCGGGGAGGGGCAGGGCGATAGGCACAGCGCCTGTAGCGGCCAGCATAAAAAAGATGGTGCAGGGCACTTTTGAGCAAACTCTTCGAGAAGAAGCTGGATAGCCCTTGCACGACCTCTGTCTCTATGCTACCAGCTCACCCTGGATTGTCATCCAGGAGGCCCCGGAGACCATGACCTGGGACTTTGATAGGATCTACTATGGGCACTACTGGCTCAACACCGTGAGCAAGCCCAGCAAGTCAAGGACAGCTACCCTGAAAGTTCGGCCCACAGTGCGGCCTCTGCTGACCTTCCTTCGTGTGGACGAGGTGTGACCGAAGCTCAGGGCAGGTGGGCTGGGATTAGGGGTTGAGGGGGTGGAAAGGTATGTATATGCAAACAGATTGTACCAAGTAAGGAAGTAGAAGTAGAAATAGGCCCAAATTCATGACTACCAATTTGTCCAATCAATCATGAGTGGATTAAAGTCATGGTAAGCTCTCTGATTGGGTTATTGCTTGAAGGAAAACGCATTCAAAACTTTAAACAGGTTTCCAAGTTGTGATTGCATTAAAAGGCCCAGAAAACTGATAGGATTGATCTAAGGTAGGCAGTTTGAATATAAAAATAATGACTATCTTCAGCAAATGTGACACTTAATTAGATGAGATGATAAAGGGTTAGGTATAGGGTGTGTGAATGGGTGGCGGTGAGGGCGAAAATTAAGGAAATTAAGGACACATGAAGCTAGCACTGTGGCACAGTGGGTAGAGCCATTGCCTATAGTATCAACACCCTATGTGGACACTGGTTTGGATACCAGCTGCTCTACTTCCCATCCAGCTCCCTTCTGATGTGCCTGCAAGAGCAATGGAAGATGGCTCAAGTGCTTGAACCCTTGCACCCATGTGGGAGATTGTAAAGAGGCTCCTGGCTCCTGGCTTCAGCCTGTTCCAGTGCCAGCCTTTGTGGCCATTTGGGGAGTAAACTAGTGGATGCAAGATTGCTTTCTGTTTTGCATTTCTCTTTCTAACTCTGCCTTTCAAATAAATAAATGAATCTTTTTAAAAATTATAAATTAAAGATATAAGTAGAAGACAGAACAGGTCAACCAACCATCTAAGCTATGATGGACTATGTCAATCAGTGGATTTTTCAAAGCCCTCATAGTGCTTGGAGTGGCAAGATTGGCAGCGATTCATAACTGTTGCAATATCAAAACCACTTGAGCAAGAACCTCAGAGCATGCTCTACATCCGGGACCTGGGGAGGGTGGGAAATTGGGTGGGCCTTCTCCCTTAAATACCCCCCTTTAAACATGAAGGTAACAATATGGAAAACATACTAGTCTTATCCACTTTCCTGTAGCCCTTGAACCTTCTTACCCTAATTAACTATGTAAAGAATGTCAAAATAAAATTTTATTAAAAAAATATTGTATCTCTCTATATATCATATGTTACAATAAATATAAATAAATTTTTTAAAAAAGATATAAGTGAATGGAAAGATACCTCATATGTATGAATAATTTCTGGATATGTGTGATTTGTGAAAACTGAGTTGTGAAGACAAAGATCTCAGCCGAACAAGAACCAAGGAAGCAGATTATTCAAAGTTGAATCAATAATAGAGTCTCCCAGCAAAGAAAAGGCCAAGATCAGAGTTTTCACTGCTGATTCTACAAGATTTTTTTTTTAATAAAAAAGATTTATTTATTTTGAAAAGCAAGAGTTATAGAGAGAGGAAAGGGGAATGAGAGAGAATCTCCATCTATTACTTCACTTCCCAAATGATCACAGTGGCAGAAGCAAAGAGCCTAGATCTGCATTAGGTTATCCCATGTGGGTGGCAGGGCCCAAGGATAAGGCCATCTTCCACTGCTTTCCTACATTTCCAGACAGCTAGATCAGAGGTAGAGCAGCCAGGCTTCTAAATGGAGCTCAAATTAGATGCCAGTGTCACATACAGTGAGTGGTTTAACCCTCTGTGCCACAACATCAGCTGCTTCTGCAATAATTTTTTTAAGGAATTATTTTTTTAACAATTATTTTTATTATTTGAAAGACTCAGAGACAAAAAGGGAAAGCGGGAGGAGAGGTGAAGAGAGATATTCCATCGGCTGGTCCACGGCCTCAATGGCTGCAGTGATAGTGGCTCGGCCAGGCAAAAGCCAGGACCCTTTTGGGTCTTCCATATCGGTGGCAGGGACCAAAGAACTTGAACCAATGACTTCTCTCTGAGTCCATTAACAGCGAGCTAGATCAAAAGTAGAGCAGCTAGGACTCAAACCAGCATTCCAATAGGCGATGTGGACATCCCAAGCAGCAGCTTAACTCACTGTGCCACAGTGCCCACCCCAAGACCCTCGCTCTTTTTGTTGAAATGAGATATAAAGATTAGCAAAATATTGCAGTTGATTCCATCACTTACTCTTACACAGCTGGTCTCTTCAGGGCCTGCAGTTCAGTTTCAGCTAACTTTGGTAATTGCTTTTTCTTGCCATTAAAAAAAAAATCTGTAGTTATTCAATCTTCTGCACATATTTAGCTATGTTTCATTTCTTATGACCCTTATCCCAGAGTAGTATAGAAAAAAAAAACAAAGAAAAACTTGCATTTGCCAGATGAAATATATTGGGCTCCTGACGAGCAGATGCAGAGCAGAAACCCAATACGAAGATTATGTTACATTCTGGTGCAAAGACATGGAGTTGCTTCGTAGTTTCTGGAAGAAACAAAACTGTGAAAAAAAAAAAAAACATGAGAAGACAGAAGCCACTGTTCCCTGCTCTGCAGTGAGGTCAGGTAGAGAAACTGAGGAAATAGGCACAGGAGAAATTATTTTCCATGCAGAGGAAGCAAAATCTCAAGGGAGCCAAAGTGAACAGACTGAGTACATGGAGAATTTAAGAGTCGCTCTTTCCCTATTAAGAACAAACTAAACCAGAGAGCAGCTCTTTGCTATGGGAGTCTCAGGCATCCAGACAAGATGTGAGCAATTATCTTGTGGAGCCCAAGCCTGATGAGAGGGAAGACATGGCAGGAGCGCAGCTGTGGTTTATTTAATTTAATTAATTAACTTTGAAGGAAGATGAGGGCAGAGCAATGAGTGATGTAAGCATATCTCTCCTCTGTTTCTGGCTACAGGAATGCTGAAGAAGCCTCAAGAACGTACCATATTCACCCATCAACAGTACAGGGAGTTGGAGGCTCTCTTTACACAGATCATGTTTCCAGATAGAAACTAACTCCAGGAACTAGCCTTGCAACTCAACCCGCCAGAACAAAAAATAAAGGTGTGATTCCCATGGGCCCCCATCCAACCCACTTCCCACTCAGTATCCTGAAAATTGCCCACCAGTGACAATAACAGCATCTGACTTATTGAGTACCTACAGAGCTGGTGCTGCTCTGCACACATGGTGTATGTCAGACTCACTCCCTTGCAGTATAATACTTTTACTATAGATCTCAAAGAGGCGGTGTTCTCATCCAGACTTGCCAAATAGAGTTTTCTCGAACAACCCAGTTTGTACATAATAGCTGCCTCTGCTTACAGAGTCTGCTAGGCCCATAAAAATCTGGCAAGTCTTTGTGATACTGGAAGTCTTCCAAAATAATCTTTGAAAATGCCTCGGTTCACATTCCCACCTCTCCCAGAATCTTTGAATTAGCTTTTTTTCCTCTGGAGTTCATAGCCCTTTCTCTGAAACCCCAGTACAGCCACTGAAATGAATTTCCTTCTTACCTTCCCAATCCTGTTGGCTTTATGGTTCCCCATGCTGTCAAAACCCAGTGTCATGGTAACATGGAGGGAACGTACAGGTGGTAGTGGAGCTATCTATTTTCACTGAGAAGCTTCCAGTGCCTTCTCACACTAACACAGTGCACTCTCCTTCTTCCCCTACTCCAGGTTTGGTTCCAAAACAGGTGATTCAAATTTAAGAAGCATCAGCAGCAGCAGCAATCACTAAAGCTATCAATCAAACTCTTGCAGCTGAGATGAATCTACCCATTTACCCTGGAATATCCATGGATCCTTGCTCTTTGTTCCCAATTGTTTCAGATTTCTGTAGCACCCTTCTACCTCAGCTCTTAAGCCCTTCCTGTGACAAGTGGGATTTCATCTTCACAGAGGATCCCATGGGTGATTTCTAAACGCAGGATCTTCCCTTGGAGCAGCTGGTGGCCTTGGTTCCTCCCTTGTTCTCGAATGCCAATAACATAGCCCAGATCATAGAGTTGTAACAGCTTTCCTGATGAGGATGAGATATCCAGATCCTCCTTCCATTGTCTCTTTCAGCATCTCTCGCCACAAAGCCCCCATCTGGAACAGGATTCCTCCTCACTCAGTACTTCTGCTGGTGAAGCTCTGAGTTTATCTCCTGAGCTAGCCTGGCCCAACTCAACAAGCCAAGAGTGTGTAGCCTGCAGTGGCACTGACAGCACGGAATTCCAGGACTAACTACCACAGTACAGCAGACTTTCCCTTTCTTGAGTCAGAATACTAACAAACAACAGACCATGTGAAAATGCTCTCCTTCACCTCTAGAAAGTATTCTTTATTTTCTTTTCTTTGATTTTTCAACCTAAAAATCTGCATTGGTGTCACTTTGATTATCATGGGAATATTGTAAAAATTAGATTTTCTGAATCATACTTTTTTATTTGAAAGGCAAATTATTTTCTTTATGGAGAGAAAAGGAGACACATAGAAAGAGGTCTCCCATCTGCTGGTTCTCTCTCCAAATGGCCGCAATGGCCAAAGCTGAGCTGTTCTGAAGCCAGGAGCCAGAAACTTCTTCAGAGCCCACCCAGTCACAAGGATTTGAGCCATCTTCTGCTGCTTTCCCAGGCAACAAGCAGATAGCTGGTTTGAGAAGTGGAGCAGCCAGGACTCAAACCAGCAGTCATGTGGGATACTAGCACTGCAGGTAGAGGATTAGCCAACTAAGCCACTGTCACAACCCCAAAATAGAATTCCATTCAGGTCTAACTCAGAACAACACAGTCAGCCTTACAACTTCACAGGCAGAGGGCTTCCTGATTCCTTAGAGGGCAGAAGAGGCTACAAAACTCTCTTCTCAACAATGCTTAAGATGTTTAAAGAGACAGCTCCCAGCTGGAGACAGTTATGCTTAGTGAAATAAACCAGTCCCAAAAGGACAGACACCATGTTCTCTATGATATAATACAGCCTTCATGCAAAATACAAAGTAGATAGACATAGGTAATCAAGTATTATATTTTCATAGATGAACTGTATTATGGAGACTAGCATTCCAGGAAGTAAAAGCATGTGGCAGCATGCATTTCTACTCCTAAGTAAAAGGAAGACTCCAAATGAAACCATTAAACATACCTTGACAGTTTGATAAGAGCTTTTCTACTTTTGTCTATACCTCAATGCCATGATATACTTAAATAATAGAATGTTACATTTTTAACTGCTAGTAAGGGACTATGCTACTATATTAATATGGGGGAGAGAAAAAAAGGAAGGGAGAACTATTTGTACCTATAAAATTGTATAATGACATTTAAATAGCAGACAGTTAATCTGGTAATTGTTACTAAGGGAGTAAATACTACTGTAATAATTCAGAAAATAATGGAGGGAGGGAAGAACCCCTGATACCTACAAAACTGTGTCATGGTACATAATAAATATATTTTTAAAAACTGTATCATGGGGCAGGCTCATGGGGGTCTGAGATACAGACTTGCAGGGGTTCTAGGGGATGGTACCTTGGTGGTGTGTGGGGACCTGGAGACTCATGCCCAGGCAGGTGGAGCAAACCTGGGGATTTCACCACATGCTTGGTCCTAGGCAGGTTTGGGGAAGGTAGGGGAGAGCCCTATGTTAGTCTGCTGGCGTAGTGTGATGGTGGACCAGGTTTGGGGAACTGTGAATGTGCTTGGATACTGGGTGGGTGGAGGGATAAAGTCACAGGCCAGCATGTGTGCCAGGAGCTTGGGTCCCTAGTGCATGGGCAGAGCTCCAGGCCAGCATCCCACCTCACTGGAAGACCAGGTTTCTGAAGACTAGGCTGGGGAAACCCTTGCGCTCCATGGCACAGGGACTGGGGATTGCTCAGGGAAGGGTGTGAGGGTATGTGTGGAAGGGAGGGCCATTGAGGGAATATGTTTCAGGTGAGGAATGAGGGACTTCCATCAATAAGGCCACTGTTCCTGCAGGTAAATGAGGGGGCTGAAACCAAGTGGTTTGGAGTGGGGAAGCTGGAAGACCTTTCTGGGTCAGGCCAATGCCCCTGCCCATGTGGGTGACCTGAGTTGGAATTGACCACTGCCGACAACCACCCACCAGCACACTGTAAAACAATGGCTGGGGGTCTAACCTGGCAGGGCTAGATCACAGTACTTGCCAATGAGTGTTGCAACATGGGATGAGTAATGTTAGGCTAGCCCATGACACTAACCAGCACACAAGAGAACCAGGTCTGGGGGCAGAATCCGTCGGGGATATGTGGGCTAACACTTGTGGAACTCCAGTTTCTACTGTTTTGCTCAACAGCTGGGATGGATGATGTGCTGAGGTAGGCATGACCATGGAACCCCCGGACACTCATGGGTGCTGGTGATGGACACAGGCAAGGCTGGTTCAGGCTGTAGCACCTGTAGGCACATCCAAGCATAAGGTGTGGAATGGGCCGGACCACAAATCCACCAGCTCACATAAAGGCAGAGGCAGACTATGCTAGGTAAGAGCATAGCAATTTGTTGGCACAGATGAAATCTAGGTCTGGGAGTGGGCCTAGTGGTGGAACTTGGGAAACTCTCCTGGTGGCTATAGTTTCCACTGGTGAGCATGTGATTCATGCATGGGTATTGGTCAGGCTGGGTAAGGCAGCTCCACTTGTCAGCAAGTGTGTGGGTTGGTTCCGGAGGTTGAGGGAACACTGGGCCAAACCTTAGGACACTGGCATGTGCAGGAGCCAGGGGGTTATGCTAAACTAGGCTATCATACCTAAAGATTTTCATGATCCAGGAATGGGGCAGGCTTGGCAGGGCCAGGCTGCAGCACTCCCCACTGAGAGTTGGGACATGATGCAGACTGGGCCAGGCCAGGCTGCAGCAGCTAATGGTAAAGGCCAAGATGGGGGATGGGCTATTTGGGGCTGGGTCAGTGCAACCACTGGCACAATGCAAGATTATAGCTTGGAGCAGATCGGGTCAGGGAGCTTTGGGAATGCCTCAGCTATGGTTCACACTAGTGAGCATGAGAGCCAGAATGGGGCAGCGATCTAGGCTGGACATGACTGCAGTGTCCCTTGGCATGAGTGTAGATTGGATCTGGGGCATGCCAGCCTAGACTAGACTCCAGCATCTGCTGGTGCTTGTGAGAGCCAGGGTGGGTATAGGATGGGCTGGGCTAGGTCTTAGTACCTACTGAACCACATGAGAGATGAATCTGGGAGTGGGTCAGGTATGTCTGGGCTGTAGCACCCAACAATAAGAACTGGAATGGATGTTGGCCAGTTGGGTAAGGCCACTGTTCCTGCCAGGACAGGAGGTATACCAAGACAGGCTGGACCAAGGACCCACTGGTATGTGCACGAGATCTGTCACTGGAAGGAGACCTTGAGGAACTTGGGGAACTCCTTTGTCAGGACACAGTACCTGCAGGAGAGTGTAAGAACCAAGGCTGGGGATAGCCCAGACCAAGTCAGATTACAATACCTGCTGGCATACATGTAGGTCATGTCGGAAGGCAGGACAGGCTGGGCCAGTTCATAACATCCACTGGCAGATGTGAGAACCAGGATGGGGTACAAGAAAGGCCAGGTTGGGCTACAACATCAGTCAGTTCACATTGAGGATAGGACTGGGAGCTGGCTGAGCTGGGCTAAGCTGCAGCACTCACTAGGATGAGCTAGAAATGAAGGCAGGTCAAGCTGAGCCAGGCTGCAGCACCTATCAGGCCATACCAGACTGGGATACACTTCCCACCAGCACATGTAAGACCCTGGAGTGAGGGGTAAGCCCAGTAGGGGAGTTGCAGAGGTTCCCCTGCTGGGCTACTGCTCCCACTGGTGAGCTTGAGAACTGGGACCAGGGGCAGAACAGGCTAGGCAAGACTACAATACCCAGGAAAATCAAGATGATGGAATAGAGTAAGGACATGCTTAAATGGACAGAGAAACATTAACTAGTATGAAGCAGAGAGGGCACATTCCAGGAAATAGGAGAGGACAGAACAACAGCAGAGGGGTACCTGAAAACTGATAGACACAGGAAAGCAGCAAAAACAATGGTGTGGTGTTGCAGTGACTGACACCCCAGCGACATTCAGCAAATGGCAATCTGAACTCCACCAGCAACCAGGTGGAAAGGGACATTTACCGGAAGCTCCATAGGTGAACCCAGACAAAGAACCGCTTGTCCTGCTGGTCTGTTTTATTTGACCAGGAGCAGAGACATAGTGGCAGATCCCAGATGGGCAGTGCAGGAACAGGGTGGATTTCATAGCTCATCTGCCCGCCTAGAGCACCATGTCATTTAAGGAGGCAAGGGTTATGGAGTAGGACTACGTGTGTACTGATCTGGGAGTGATCTCATTTCTGGCTCAGTGAACATCAACAGTGTAGCATCCTACAGGTTCCACACAAGACATGTCCAGGTAGTCTTCAGACCTGACAGCCAGCAGATCAAGAACTCTGGTAGTGGCATGTCGGGTGCCATTTTGTACAGTGTGGCAAAAGTTTTAGGACTTCAGGGACAACAGTGAGCTGTGCATGCACTGAACTCACGAGAACCCACGGAGCTCAATGCATTGCTCTGGTCCCACAGGAAGATAATATGGGTCAAAATAGGTCTGTGTGGCCCTCAGAACTGGGACCAAAGCCTTAGGACCCTGCTCTCATGTGGGAGACCCTGAAGAAGTTCCTGGCTGCTGGCTGCTGGCTGCTGGCTTGGCCTTGGATCAGCTCAGCTCCAGATATTGCACCCACTTGGTTTTCCAATAAAAATAAAATTAAAATCTTTTTTAAAAGAAACTAATTAAAATTAATCAAGAAAGAAGCTGTAGTATGAATGCTCTGTTAGTATACATTATATGGTAATGATCCAGAGCAGCATATGCTGGGAGAATGGGAATTCTAATGTGGGACACATGCTCCTTAACTGGGATCTGAATCATCAGGCTTAAATGGCCAGCCCTGTTTAGAGCAGCTATAGCCTCACAGAAAAAAAAATCAAAAGCACAGAGAATTCTTATATACTTCTTGCTCCTACAAATTCATAGCCTCTTCCACTATCAGCATCTCCCACCAGAGTGACACATTTGTTACAATGAGCCTGAAGTGACACATCATTTTCACTTTGAAGCCCAGAGTTTATGTCAGGGTTCACTCCTCAGGTTGTACATTGTCAGTTGCAATGTCATATAAAATTCTCTGAGTGCAGAAAAAAAAAATCTCAGTGCTCCATATCCTCACTCCTGCA